ATACACACACACATACATACACACACACATTTTTCCTTAATTTAAATTTTACTCGTAATTAAAAAAGCATTATAATTTTTATTGTACCATTTCTAATATTTGGTGGCACATTTTAATAATTTGGCGGCACATAAAAGTGGCGCGGCACAGTGGTTGAGAATCACTGGTCTAATGATACTATACATTCTGTTAAGAAAATAGTACAAAAACCGAAAATAATTTGTTACTGCATCACTTAAAATTATTAGTTATTCAAGGATTTCTTCTCAAGAATATCAACTACAACACTTTAAAAAAATGATTTTCACAAAAAAATTGCAATTAAAGGTTTCATGATGTTTAAAAAAAATACCTTCATTAAAAAATATTTGAATTATAAAATTATGTAGAAATTTTTTAAAATTATAACCATTTTATAAAAAAAATATATATATATAAAATGGTCAAAAAGTGCAACATTTAAATTTATTTTAAAACATACATATTTGTTCCAAATATATTTTACAATGAATATTTTTACCTCGTTTTCAACAAATATAAAGCTATAAATTTAATAAAATAATTGATTTTTCAAACCCAAAAGCTAAAATGTATTTTTAAAATATTACATAAACTATTTCATTAAGTTTTTAAATTTTTTTTATATATATTTTCTTTATTTTATGAAACATTTAAGTAAAGATTTTATGCATAACTAATTTTCCTGTATTAATAGGTAAAGGGAACCTGAACAAGATAGAAATAATCTATTAAATTTGACTAAATGCATAAAGGGCAGGGACAAATCAATTATAGACATCTCTTACCATGCTCTTCTTCGGTAACAAATTTTTGAGAATGTTGTACAACAGCTTTCACCCTCTCGCCTAAAACATTTATATCAGCTTCTACCAGACTATGCTTTTGTAATAAGTCTTCAACTCCCATGAGATGTTTGCCATAATCTTTAGATAACAATCTAGCCTATTAAAATAAATTCAAAAGCATGTAAGAAAAAAGAAACAAAAACATTAATGGCAGTTTTAAAAATTACACAATATAAGTAAATTAAAAATTTATTAATAAAGAAATAACATGTTATAAGTGGTCCTGATAATGTTTAACTCTTGTATCTTTACAACATATTAAAATTTTATACTGAATCCTTAATTTTGAAATTTTATTTATTTTGTATTCTTTCTTATATTATTGATTGCTATACATTTCTCTAAGATGCTGTTTTTAAAAATAAAACGGATGATATTGTTTTTAAATCTATTGTTAAACATGGTATTGTCAAACAAAAACATTACTAATAGCAAATTTTGAAAATTAAACAATGAAAAATATAAATTGTAATTATAAACTTTATTAATAAAAAAAACATGTTATAAGTAGTCCAGACAATGTTTAACTCTCGTGTCGTTACAAAATGTTAAAATTTAATACTGAATCTTTTATTTTGAAATTTGTGTTATCTTTTTGTATTCTTCGTTATATTTTTTCTTGCTAACATTTCCCAATGATGCTGTTGTAAAAAATAAAATGGAAGATGGTATTGCTTAAATCTATTTATCAACTTCTCTTGAAAAAGGTTCTGATTAGCTACGTTACGAGTTTTTCATAATTCAGAACTATATGTATACCATTAACAGAACAAGATCATTTTAATGAATTAAAAGAACCTGTCATAATGCATATCATGTAACTGTAGAAAACTGTGATATTTACATAATTTTTCTTGGATAAGAAAAAAAATAACTCTGATGATGGCAAAATATTAAAAAAAAATAGTTCTGTAAGTAAAGTTGATCAATCAAAAACTAACTAAATAGTTAATTTGAAAAACCAATGCTCTGTATTTTTTAACTTACCTTGATTTCTTCCATAGAATCTAAAATGAATATCATTTCTTGGAATGTCTGTTGTAAAGCTATAGATTTTTCTAGTCTGCTTCTGCGAGCTCGTAGAAGTTCTAGTAAATAATTCCATAATCGCAAAACATTGTCTTTCCTATTAAGAAAAATTTAACAAACAATTCAAAAGTAACCTAATAACCTTAAACTTTTTTTTAAAAAATTGTCTTAAAATAAGTGAGCAACAGAAAAAAAAGAGACATTTTTTAAAAAAAATCAGGGCAAAGTTCAGAATTTTTTTTAGAAAAATACATACTAGACTAAGTAGGGTAAAAAGGTTGAATATTACACTTAACATTTTAGTGCAAAACTAATTTAGTGGATGAATGCTCTATTCACCATTTTAAAATTAGTTTCCTTTAGAAATAAAATATTTAGCAGTAACTAAATTTTTAATAGGTTAAATAATTTACTTAAATAGTAACTAAACTTTTTTACACATTTTCAATATGATTAAGGTGATTTTCTCCATATTCAATATATAACCAACAATTTGAGTACAATTCAATGTTACTCTAAGATAGGGGTGCACAGGGTTGGGTTTTTGACGTCAAAAAGTGGTTTTTGACATGACAAGGGTATAATACTGGTTTAAACCGTCAAAAACCAATCAAAAATGTCAAAAACTGAAGTTTGCC